ACTTTCGCCCGCCCCCGCTAGCCACCCGCCAGCCGAGGCCCGCGCCGCCCCCCGCTCCGGCCAGGCCCCCACCACCACCAAACTTCGAGTGCGCGTGTGAGGAGACCGCGGTCGCGCTGCAGCCGCCTCGCCGCGCCAGCACGGAGGCCCGCAGTCCACCCACCTTTCAGAGGCCGCGGCTCCACGCGTGCTGCGTTCCCCGAGCCGCCGACTGCAAGCCAGGCCGCCCCCGCGCCCGCTCCGCCGCCGCCCGCCGCTCCTGGAACACGGTCCCCCGCACTTCTGCAGTTGCCACCGCGGCGGTGAAGGTGTAGCCGCCGCTCTCGCTCTGCGCACGCGCACCTCCCGGTACCACATTCTCCGAATCGAACTCATTTGCATACGGGCACTCGGGCGCGCGCGCGTCGGGGGCGGGGCGGGGAAGGCCCCGTGGCCGCGCGCGCTCCCGAGGCCTCTATTGTCCTTTTAAGGGGAGAAGCGCCGAGGCGCGGGAAACGCGGCAGCCCGAGGGAGTCGGAGGCGGGGCCTGCTTACTACAGTGACGTCACGTAAACAAACGCCCCCAGCCGGAGGCAGCGGAGGGGCGTGGCCAGGGGCGTGGTGAGCGGAAAGGTTCTTGGGCGATGGGAGAACACCGGAGTGCGCGCGTGCCCTGCACCCTCAAGTAGTGGGGAGGCCCCACTTCGCGGGGAAAAGTATTTTCGAACGAGGTGTTTGCAGAATTTGCTCACCTGCGCCCAGTCTCCCGAAATGACCGAGGAGGGTTAGGGTTAGGTGCCGAGTGTTCGACTGCACGTCTACGTCCGCGTGGTTCCCTAAGTTTGTTCTGAAGCCGGGATCTCGAAGCTTTTCTAGGTTGGTGTTGAGTCACCTTGGGCAAGCAGAGGTTTGTTTTTTGTGTGTGCAGTTTTGAAGAGTCGTTTAACACAGTCTCACTGGGAGTCCAGGGACTTCCGCCTGCCCTTCACAGGCGGTAACCGACCCTCACCGCTCCAACTGCACATATGCTGGGTATCGGACCCCGCGGAGGTGACTGGGTGCTCACCTCCGTGCTCCGAGCCAGCACGCCAGTGGTGCAACACACCTAGATGTGACAGCGCTGACTGGTGGTCCAGAGAATCGAAAAAGTAGCCGGTACCGTGCCCTACTGGAATTTACAATAAACCAAGCAGTCTAGATGCTTTTAGTCTGGGAGGCAAAAACCGAAACTGAAGAAACTCCCCAAGACTGATAAGGGGGAAGTGAAAAGGGGATGATTCTGATACACCTTTATTCTGAGGACACACCTAACACCAACAGCCTCAGAACCTGACTTCATGGGAGAGGAGCATGGGAAGAAAGGATGTTTTATCCAGAACTTGATGACTGGTCCCAAGTTACAAAAGTATGGACATCGACCATAAAACTTAACCATCTGCTGACAAGTTGCCTGCGTTCACTGCAGTCAACAGTATGGATTTAAGAAGATAATTGTGAAACGTTAATTCAACAGCCAAATCCCAGGACATCCCAGAGAAACCTACTTATTAAGTTTTCAACTAATGTTTCACTTTTTTCCCTTTAGGTTCTATATTATGCTAACTTTATAGGAAACATAACTTTATGTGAAAACTAAAATTTAAATACCTGTGAAGGAAGAATAAAAATGACTTCTCACTAAAACTCGAGGCCCCAAGCGGTAGGGTATTAAGATCTGTATTCAGTGCCTTAAAAAATGTCCAGCACTTAATGGACTCCGAATAATTGCTTGTAAAATTATACATCAGTACATTTTCAGATTATAGATTTATCTCAAATCAAAACAATTTTAAATTTTTTATTTAACCTAAGGTAAGTTTGGAATTTACAGACCACTTTGATTGATATGATTCATGTCCTTATAAAAAGTAAGCTTAACTAGTTTCTGGTGGCAAACTGAACTCTGAACGTACCTCCTACTTCCTTTTGTTTGTTTTTTTTTAACCTCCTTTTTGAAGAGAATTACAAAGTTCTTGTAAATTGTCTCACATAGTTATTGGTTGATGATAGACCTTCCAAAAACACTTACAAAGTACTTTTTGCTTTGGAGAGTGTGAAATTTGCAAGTGTAACATTGGTCAGGCTTCTGTTATTCTTCTAGATGTGTAGCTATTATACATTAACATAAGGGTTATAAATGTACTAGGTAATGTACTTCTGTGTAACAAACTGTCCCTAGAATGCTGTTTCTCCTGAACAATTATATTTATATATAGTAACCAGTGGAATAGGTCAGATATAGTACAGATGGAACAGATCCAACTGTACAAACAATGCAGGAAGGACTATATTCAGGAGATACTATTCAGATAAGCATCCACCTGCAGGTTCTGGCTACTGAGCCAATATCAGAGCAAGACTTCCTCTGCTCTCAGGATAAAGGTCAAAAAGGAATCTGGGTCATTTTTGAGGAAAATTAGCAACAAAATCCTCAAAGAAGAGCAAGTTCTTTTTTTTAACCTGCTAGTATTGAACAACCAAATGTATCCCAAAGGGTCTTTTGTTCATTTTGTTGCATGGACATGTTGTCCTGACTGGCTCTGCCCTGGACCATAAGTTCATTTGTGGACTACTTTAACGTAATGTCACCTAAGTAGTCCAAGTGAATTTTGAAAAAGAGAGGGAAGGAGGGGAAATAATTCATAGTATACAAATTAGGATTATAACAGATGAAGTTTACCATGTCAGAAAAATATATATTTTTAATAACTATAGTGCGTTATATTAACTATGGAACTCATAGGGAGTTCTCAAAAAACTCAAAATTGGAATTGGGAGTACAGAAACAAATCAAAATCAAAATGGAAAAAAAAATTACCAGAGTCTGCTAAGCCAACTGCGGTGCTTATAATTGTCCTGCTATGGAAATATTCCATATTTTCCATTCAGGTTTTCATTCACTTAACAAACACTTAATGATCTTTGCTGTATGCCAGAGAGTAAAACCACTTCAGAACAAGAGGGGCTCAAGACTCCTCACCTCTTCTAATTTATTTCTCTCTAATTGTATTTTATTGCCTATTTTTTTCTTCTGTAGCATTTAATGCAGTTTCTTTATTTTTGGAAACTTCACTATTTAACAGCAACTTTACAATTTATTAACAATATTCTTGGAACAAAGGGTAAGTTATATATAAAGATCTGAAAAGGACAGTTCTTGCTTGGTAACAAACAACATTATCAACAGTTTAGTAATGTTTGTAATGACTATTCAAATCGATGATTGTTAAATGAAGTCTGATTTCCTCATCAGAGACTGGTCCCAAGCATGTTAAAACATTTTGTTGAGCCAAGGAAAGATATGATTTTTTTTTTAACATTGGATTTGGTTCTGTAGTTGGTAATAGACCAAAACAACACAGTATTCTGTTACTTATTTGTTTAATTGCTTTTGAAGTTCAAACAGCAAGTGGTGAGAACAAGTCAGGTAATTTTAAGCTATGAGGGGTAAAATTGGTTATGTGATCTCAGCAATCCTCCAACAACCGTTGACAGCTGCCAGAAAGAGGTATCTATTACTTAATGAAAATTAACTTTCCAAATTTGAGAACTTAAAAGATGTAAAGAATACTCACAAATTTATAGTTAGAAATAATACCCTCTGAATTATAGAAATTTTAAGCTTTATACTACTATCTTATAACATTTGAGTAGCATACTTAAAAAATATAAAAATCACTGGTAACACAAGTAATTTTAAGGGTAATGGTAAACTACAAAGAGTTCACAGGAGAATAAATCAGGAAACCATAGCATAACAGCAAAAACTGAAAGAATTTGATCAAGAAGGTGATCTTTGATTACCTGAAGGACTGTCACTAAGAGAATAAATGGGTTAATCTTTTAGCTTAGGAACCACATTAGCCTTGAAAATCACAAAACTATAAACTATTGCTAAACATAAGAAAAATTTCTAAACACATGAATAGTCCAGGCATGATAGAGGAGACTGCAAAAGGCAACTCCCTGTTACTAATGATGGTATTCACAAAAATAAATAATAAAACAAAATTTTTGTCAATAAATAATGTCATTTCCAATATAAAGCTTGCTATCTCTAAACTGTTGAATTCTATGAATCTATAATTCTGATTTGAACTTGGACATGAATTTACTTATTCACTTGTTCCCTCAAATACTTACTGAGTCTCTACCAATTGTCCAGACCTTAGTATAACATGATGGGCAATGAAGACATGGTCTTTTGTGGAATGTGGAAGGAAGTCATTCCAACAACACACAAATAAAATTATAAATTATGAGCAATAAAATAATTCTGGGAGTCTAAGCCTGTACGGTTAGGGGATCAGACCTAACCTAAAGATAGAAGAAAAAGCTTTTGAGGGCATGAGGTTGGATTTCTTTTAAAGACTTATTTTGTCTATGTATACAAGGACTGGGATGTAGGCAAGTGGTGTGGGGGTAGGGATGGAGAGGATTCACCAGAGACAGAGTGGTGAGCAGAATAGACTGACTGAAATCCACTGCTAAGGAGAGCAGCAGTAAGACAGAAAGTCGGCTACCAAATGTGGGTTATCTCCCTGGCCTGGGATGGAACTTGTGCTGCTGTGGCTGTGGAGAGCTTCATATTGCTGAGACTTAATCCTTTGTGTCACAAGGGAGGTCCTGAGGGTGAATTATTAATAGGAGAGATGGAAAGCTGGAGAATGCAAAAAAGATTGAACCAGGGCAAGTTCTAAGAGACAGCTAAGTAGCTGGGTGGTAGGGTGAGTAGGAAAAGAATCATGTTTTTGAATGAAAGTTACATAGGAATCTCTATTGAAGGAAAGATTGTGTCAGGTGCTGGAAACCAAGAGCAATCAGCATTTAAGCCATGTGAACTTACAACTTACATAAGTGTGAGAAAGTTGCACACCAAAGGTGAACTCTAGCAACAAACTCTTGTGATAAGATTACAGGTACTTGAATCAATCTGTATTTCTTCTATGAAAAATTCTTTTCTAAATGTTGAAATTAAATTATTCCCCCAACCATTCCTTCCTGAAAGGACCCCTTTCCAGTTGCTTACTGATGGCAAGTCTGCTATATCACCAACAGATGCATAAGTAAAGTATTAGATACAAAATAAAGTCAGAGATTCATGCTGGGTTGCCATTTCTGAAACCTTTGGGAATATAATATTTAGCAATCTAGAAGAATTTCTTCTTTTGCTTAGAATTCTCATTGTTGAATATGAATTTTCAAAATAGCATGCAATTTCATAGCTTGTAACAAGCAAATAAGAGTTATTGGCGTCAAGGTTTTGGATGACA